GGGCCTTCATAATTCCATTCCATCACAGGGGCCATTTTAACCAGCGAGATCATCAGTATGAGAGAAGGCAGAACGCCTTGTTTGACCTCAGTTGGGAATGCATGCGTCAGCCGACTCAAAATTTTCACCACTTTGCACATGAATGTGAAAGTGCCAACGAGTATTGATTTGGGGGCTACAATAAATTTTAGTGAGTAGGTGAATTTACAAATACAGAACCCGAGAATAACGAGGATTGACTATATGCTGAGAGTTGGCACTATAAGGGGAGGTCTACATAACTGAGCAACAGAGTACACTTTTAAATACAAAAGGCTCTGATATAAATTTGACCCATCCAGTTTAAAAAAGGATGAAGTTGCAGAAACCCCCAAATCAATCCAGAACACTTAATATTGAGCCTTTTCTGTTGTGGCGACCACCCTTTGGAATATCATCCCCCCAAGAGATTAGATTGGCCGTGACTAGATAGCTGGTTGTGATGTAGGACCTGTTCAATGGTTATGCTGAAGGCTGTGAATGTTTCGTAACTCACCTGCTGAATATGTTTTATGGTTTTTTTAACATCGTTTAGTGTTTTCTTTGTTTTTTCCTTGTATTGTGCTGCTTTTTTCATTGATGCCTGTTAATTGCTGTGAGCCACACAGTCACTTATGTGAGATGGGCAGCTATACAAACCAAATCAATCAATCAATAATTGTGTGGATGGACAAATAACCTGACTTGATCTGATACTTTCCTATAGTAGGGACACTATAGGAGGAGAGCTTTTTTAGTTTACAGTAACACAAAAATCAGGAGTAGTCTGGCAGTGCCTTTTACGACAAACACATTTGATTAAAAGGCATAAGCTTTTGTGAGCTGCAGCTTTTGTGAGCTGCAGCATAAGTACACAAAAAGCTTATGCCTTTTAATAAATGTTTCTTAGTCGGAAAAGGCGCTACCAGACTCCTCCTGATTTTCTTCCTCTACCGTGAAAGATTCCAGCACTTCTGTCATTACAGGAAGACATTACAGGCCATGAGATATGTAAAGCTGAGGACGGAGCCGAAACATAAGCACGTGCCATCTTTTCACGAAGGCCATTTCAGAGGCTGCTGGCTTTCCCCTGCCAACAGCCAGCAGCTCTCTCAAGACAGTGCACCAGCGTCCTTCCCATTGTCATCCTTGTCCTCTGTGCTTCCTTAGGCCTGACTAGCGCTCCCTTGAGGTAGCCAGTGGGGGGGGGGGCACAGAAGATGACAGCAGCTACAGCCCGGCTCCATCTTTGTCCTTCCCTCCTGCGCTTGCTTTTTGTAGAGAGAAAAAGTAATTTTAAGAACCTTAGCCACAGTGCAAGAGAGTGGCCAAGATGCCTCTCAGAACGGCCAGGAATGATGGAGGAAGAGAGGCTACAGCAGGGAGTTTACATCTTTGAGTAGAAGGCAGGGAGTTCCCACCAATGAGAAACTGTCCTCCCTGTAGCTCCAGAGTAAAAACTGCCAATCAATCTGGGTAGCATTTCTGCTACTAGAGCAGCAGCAGAGCTCCAGATTGATGGGCTGAGATTCTAATTATATCCATAAGCTCCCTGGCCCTGTTGGGGGACAGACGTGCAGTGCCACTCTAGGATCAGGACAACCCTTCCATGTGCAAAGGGCCTATGACTGGCCTATGGGAACCCACTAGCAATGTGTAAGGCCCTTAAGGAGCTATAGTGAGACAACACCTAGCACTGTACTGCCACCTTTTATTGTCACCAAAGCAGGAAACGGCAAAGGAGAAATACTGGCTTATTAATTATTCAGTAATGTACAAGGCAGAAGCACTGATCCATAAGAGCTTCTCTGCTGAAAAAGCAACGACTGAAAGACACATAGCTTGTGGTAGAGAAAAACACTGAAATTCCTGCTCAGTATTTTCTGCTGTAACCTGAGCTTTTGCAGTCACATACAATCTTCCCCAGCCAGGATTCCAGGCCATGTTTTTGACAGAAATCCATCCAATGCTTATCTGATGAATGCCTTAGCTAGTCATCAATTAAATTCTCCACAGTTCAAGGAGGATTCTGGGATGTGCAAAAGTCAGGACTGCTAATAATATGCCAAATAGGGAAGCAAGAACAACAGAATAGCCAAACTGGATGGACATTAGTACATCTCCAAGAGGAAGCTGTATGGCAGGAAGTGCCAATCAGACTAATCAAAGGGGAATCTGCTCCCTCCAACTGACTATTAGAGCAGCTCTCTCTCCATGACATGCTGGTCTTCTAGGTGTATGAAGTCTATATTAGTATCCCCCCCAAGATCCAACTGTATAACATGAGATTCATACAACATATAATTCACTCAATATGAATTAAAAATGGAATTTTTTTCAATGGACTTTTGATGCCTAGCACAAAAAACCCTGGCATTTATTTTCTTTTGATCTGTTAAATTGACTTATGCTGAGTTATTTTAATGTGGGTATTATGGGGCTTATTTTAAGATGTTTTAATGATGGTTTTATTGTATACTGTCCAGAGTTGATATGATCTGCTGGTATAGAAATAATGTAAATAAACAAAAATAAATGAAATGGTACAGTCTGGGAAAAAGCTTTACTTTCTGATCCTGCAGAACATGACTAAGGCAAAGATCTTTTAATCCAGTGCAAAGAGCCTTGAAATAATTTGGGAAGAAAAAAAATTGCATTTCTTGGTGTTAAATTCACTTTTCCTAATCCGAGTTGTATTTTGTGCTGTACTTTGTGCTACATACATTGTACCCTCAAGTTCCAAATAGAAGTACAGATGTGATTCCTAATAGCCTTTTAATCTTCCAGTTAATTTTAATCCAGAAAAATCTGGCACCTGGAAACATAGCATACTTTTTCAAGCTTTTCACTAAACTGTGTGGGAGTCTGAACCATTGAACAAAAAACTAATAACACAGAATTTCTTGTTCCAAATTAACGTTCCAACATCCTTTTAAAACCTCAGAAGTTTAAATGACCTAATTTGTCTGGCAGTAAAATCTGGGGCCATAGGCTTTAGAGCAAGTCACATTCCTAAAACATCTTTAGCATCAGCACCATATAAGGTAGTCTGTATCCTGCTCTGTTCCACTCTTATCCCTAGAGATTAGCAGAGCCAAACAGACATTGTACATTAAAAATGAAGACAGAAACATAGACTAAAAACACGAGTGCTTACTATGTGCTTTTATTCCAGTATGAAAAGATTACTTTCTGAACTCAAAAAGGAAAACAAAACAAAACAAAAAAACTCTTAAGAACCATCTATACTGAGGTTAACTCTGTACACACAGATTGTATTTTCCAGAGGCTAATATGCCGCTTCAAAACGAAGAGCAGATCCACAAAGCTGTTTTATTAAACTCCCTCCCATCCCAGGGAATCATGCTGCCCTAAAGCACCCCCACAGCATGCCCTTGTTGCACACCCAAAATGGGATTGGGCTGCACTACTGTTCAGGCAATTTTAAGGCATAACATTCTAAGGGTCATGACTGATGGTTGCCTTTGCTGAAATTCCAGCCCCACCAAACATCAACCATGCAAAAAATCTCTATGCACAATACTCTGGTTACTCCATGCACTGTATTTTCTTTTTCTTTCCCATCATTCTGTCATCTGATTGCACTTTTTGAAAAATTCATTGAGACTATGGGTCAGCTGGTCAACCATCTGACCTTTTGATCACTAGAGGGCAGCAAAGAGCCAGAGTTTTTGCATCTGTTGTCTGACATCTAGTGGTTGTCTGGATTAGTGCAGGTGCTGGATAAGTGCTATTGGAGAGCTGAAGTTTGAGAAGGGGCAAAGCTGGGGCAAAGTGTGGAATTGCAAAGTACTCTAATAACATTACATGTGGAAAGGAAGAGAGGAGCCAGGGCTTTTGGGAGCAGTGGCCACTAAGAAGTGAATTCCCTGCCAGGCAGGCTAGAAGAGAAATACGTACAAGAGACCAGTCCTTTTGGTAATATTTCCAATTACAAGCCATGGACAGACAAGTCAATTTCAAAGCTTTGCACATTCTAGGGTGACCAGCTGACTCATCCATTTAAAAAAGAAAAAAAAAAGGTGGGGGCTGTAGAATACAAGCCATGGACAGACAAGTCAATTTCAAAGCTTTGCACATTCTAGGGTGACCAGCTGACTCATCCATTTAAAAAAGAAAAAAAAAAGGTGGGGGCTGTAGAAGCCAGGGTTCTGGTCTCCTTCAAAGTCAAAAGAGGTTAAAGAAGTAGGAGAAGAGGTCAAGGATTGGATGGAAGGAGGTGGTGGTCCCACAAGAAACTGCCAGAACCTATTGGAGCTACAAGTTTGTCAACATGGAACATGCTTTTTCAGGATGCCTCTCCCATGGGCAGCTATGTACACTACCTTGCCCACATCTAGATTCTACAGATAAGAGGAAAAATACCATTTCCAGAACAGAGCAGTCAATTTGTCCTTAGGCTGCCTCTGATTTGGATGGATGACAAGATACAGTTGGTGACACATAGACATGTCCTCTGAACCATCCTCATACTGGTGCAAGGGTGCTATGTGGATTTGCCCAAACTAGTACTGTACAACTGGCTTTTTTTTTTTTTTTACAGTGCT